CCTCAAAGAAATTCAAGAAATACCTTGTTCTCCCCCCCGCCTCCCAATTTTATTCATTTCATAACTTTTAGACATCACTTGATTGTTAAAAAAAGACCCACAAAGCAGCTTACAAATAAGATAAAATAATAGAATTGTCAATAAGAAAAAATAACAATAATTTAAGACTTTCAGATAGTTAAAATAACAATAGACCAGGGGTTGGCAAACTATGTTCCGCGGGCTGGATATGGTGCACCGGTTTAGCTCCACACGGGGACTGACTGAGGGGGACGCAATGGCTTCCTACTGGCTGCAGGATAGGACTTCCGGGACGCAACCATGGCCAATAGGAAGCCGCAGATGCCTCCCACCCCCCCATGGCTCCGAAAGCCAGTGGGTCGAGAGCGGTGGGTGATCTGGCCTTCTGGTGGAAAAGTTTGCCTACCCCCTGCAATAGACTAAAAACAGATTGAAACTCGCATCAACTTTCTAAACGTCTGGGTATGCAGGTGCCGCCACGCTAAAATATCCATTTCTTACTAATGTGGAAGACATATTATTATGTGGCACCTGAAACGATGACAGTTCTTCAAACTGAAGTGTTTGAGTGGGCATATGTTAATAATAATTATTATAATTAAAACTTGATTTGATTGCCCTTCACTGATGGGTAAGGCAATCTTGCTTTACTTCAGTATCACCTATGGAATGCAACAGGACTAACTTCTGAGTAGGCATGGCTAGGACTCAGGGATAGGCCTAAGAAAAACTGGACCTGTCATTGGTAGTTAGAGAACTGGTGCACATAGGTTAATAGATACCCCTAATCTCCAAAAGTGGCTCAGACTGTTACATGAGTTCCAGCAATCTTTTCCGAATTTATGCAAATAAACCCTAATGCAGTATTCAAAACCCCATGCAAAATTGGAGAGAACATGCAAAGGAAGCTTATGCAAATGAGCCTGCTTTGCATAATTCCAATCACAGATTTTTGTCTGTGATCCCAAATTTCGGATGTTTTGCTACAGAGAGTTGGCTCAGTGGTTATATTTGAGAGACAGGCAGGCAGGCAGGCAGGCAACTGGGGACCAGTAGATGGAAGCATTAGTCATGTTTTTGGCAATGCAAAACTAAAAATAAATAAACACCACCAATCTGAATTGCTTTCAGAAAATACACTGATCTGAAAAAATATGCTAAAATAAATGTACAGAAGTCAACATATTTCTTCTTTGTGGGGAAAACACTTTAAGATTAGGCTGTCGTCTCATACAAAATTCTGGTATCTGGGCAGGTGCTGGGATGGACAGCCTGAGCCCTATATCAGATCTAGGGGTGGAACTGGAGGATTTTTCAGCAATTTGCTATGAGCCTAGAAGCAGAGCCTAGGAATATTTGGAACACTTGCAGGCAGAGCCCAGAATCTGGAAGCAAACACAGAGATTAACCCCAGGACAAATTCATGTAGTCACCTATAGTAAACAACAGCTCATTGACAGGGACAACCTGATCACATTAACTCATGCATAGCTTGGACTACTGAAATACACGTTATGTGGGGCTGCCCTGGGGTCTGGTCTGGAAGCTTCAGCTACTGCAGAATGCCCTGGCTAGACTGGTGATGGGAACAACCACCAGTAGTGTTAAATAACCTGCACTGGCTTCCCATCTGATACTGGGTCATGTTCATGGTTCTTGTACCAGTGTCGAAGCTGCTGGACAACTTAGGCCCAGGGTATCTTAAAGACGACCTTGCCCTGTATGTCCCAAGCTGATCACTAAGATCATCTGGGGGAGATCTAATACTGGTCCTCCGTGGCCCAGAAGCATTACTTGTGTCAATGAGAGTTGTGACTCCAGCCTAGTGGACCCAACTTTATGGAACTACAGTCAACATCCTTGCCAAAATTGAGATGTCAGGTTAAAATGATTTTACATCAAGAGGCCTTTGCATCATGAATGCTGCCCCAATGATGTTTTAATCTAAGTTTTAAACTCTGTGCTAACCAATTAACTAAACATTTTCAGTATTATTATTATTATTATTATTATTATTATTATTATTATTATTAAAATTTGTATGCTGCACTTCATCCGTAGATCTCAAGGAGATTCGCAACACAAAAATACAAGATAAAAGCACAAAATACATAACAACCACCACAAGCAACAACTCCCTTCCTCTCACCCCATCCCACAAAAACATTTGAAAGATTATAGGGTGTTAATCAGCCCAAGGCCTGGTTGTAGCAGAACGATTTCGCCTGGCACCTAAAGGTGTATAATGAAGGTGACAAGAAAGCCTCTCTGGTGAGAGCGTTCCACAAATGGGGAGCCACCACAGAAAAGGCCCATTCCTGTGTTGCCACCCTCCAGACTCCTTGTGGAGTGAGCACATGAAGAAGGGCCTCAGAGGATGTTCACAGGATCCAGGTAGGTTCATATGGAGAGAGGTGGTCCTTGAGGCATTGCGGTCCTGAGCCCCAAACTAGCTTAAGAGGGTTGTCTTAGCCTCTCTACTTTTCTGTCAACTAGTGCAAAAGCAAAATCTCCACCCCACCAGTTGTCTGGGTGTTCTGTTCTGAATGAGCCTTTCTTTCCTGCAGATCTGAAGTGTGAAAGATGAGGAAATGGTTAAAGCTGAAAGAAAACGGAGTGCAGCAAACTTCTGTCTTTCATTCTCTTAAAGCCATCTCCTTTTATAGCCAGATAAATGTTTGCTCTCAGCCATCTGTCAGCACCGAATGCTCAGCAATGTTAATCCAAAGTGATGAATGTGCCCTGTGGACATCCAGAAGGGTACCTCTGGGGTCATTACTCACTCTTCCCTTTTAAAGGTGATACTAGGAATTTATAACAATGTCCACCATCTTTGGGATCAAGCAAAAGGGCCTGATGGACAGTGACATCCGAGGTTGCTGTTGCCACAGAATGCTGTTGCAGCGGCAATCGCAAACCAATAATTCAGAGGACTCAAAAGACACAGGGTTACAATTTGGTCTGGCCTTTCCTTGATAGCATTGTGGGGAAGGCTGAAAAAACATATCACATTTCTAGAGGAGTACAGAGCGGGAAAGGAGACACAATACGGGCAATGGCTCAGGATTCATCTTCCTGAGAATCATAACAAACAAGCAGGTTTCTAGTCCTTATTATGGTTGCAAATATATATTTGGAAGCTTGGGGATGGGGCTCTGGTGCTCTCAACAACTCCTGGCCTGAATAAATTAATGACTTATGAAAGAAAGAAAAACAGTTTCTATTATGGAATGGAAGTTAAATTCTCAGTGCTGACATTACACACAGGCTGGAAAATTCAGCTTTCTTAGGTGTAGGATCTAGATTGTTTACATGGAAAATTATAAGCTTCCTCCCCACTTGACCTTGACCAAGCTTTAAATAAAAGAACGTTTTTGCCAACGGGCTTTAAAAAGAGATTCAGATACTGAGAGAAGGACTATTCCAAACCATTTCATTCAGTCTTTTATGAATGACTTGCAGTGTTTCTGTTGGTCAAACTGTGAGCTGGTATGTATACAGAAGTTTCATCCTTTTTGCTGGCAGTTCACACTTAGTAGATACATCAGAGGTTGCCCTCAAGGAGCCCATGGGCTCAGTAGTGTACTTGAGGTCTTCCCCTGGTGCCGACAAAGTCTCTGACACACCACACCATTGCCTCCTGGGTCATGCATGAGGTGGTGAGCGTGGTTACCCTGTTCTCCTTTGAAAAGTACATAGAGCTGAAGAAGGAAGTGGCAAGAGAGTCACCCTTTCCAACTTCCTCTTTAATCCCTATGTGCTTTTCAAGGCTTCTTCTAGATATGACTTTTACATAGGTCCTTAGGAAATGTGAAGTGTTTGCATGGGTGTGCTCTAGCTCCTTTTCTGTTTGAGGGGGAGCAAATCTGAGGGGAAGAGGGAGAGATATTGCCAGAGCAGGTGGTGCCAATAGGACTTGCTCAACAATCCAAATGTGCCCACAGGCCTAAAATGCCTGCCTCCCCTTGATAAACACAAAAACACTGGATTCTGAAACACCAACCTGAAAGCTAATTTTACTGCTAGGCATCTCCTGAAATCCCCGGCCAAGTAACTGCCATTTTGAATTTTTGAACCTTTGCAATATTCAGGCTGTACACAGGTGTTGGTAACAAACTGCTTTACTTAACTGGGTTATATACAGCTCCCTGGCAGGATCCTAAAAGAAGGTCTAAGCTGAGAAGGAAGAGCATGGAGTCTGAGTCACACACAGCAGCATACCCAGGGGTTGGCCAGGTTTGTCCCTGCCAAGGACGCAGGCCTGGGAGGTACACAAAAATTGTGCCTTTCCACTTTGGCTCAGAGTGACTAGGAGCCCATCCGCTAACACGCTCCCTGGACTGCTCCTCTACTGCCCTGGACAGCTGGGTGCCTTTGTGGAGAAATCTGGTTTGGAGCACAAAAGGTGTTGAAAAGCAAGCTTTTAAAGTTTCTGGCCCATGGCTTTGAAGGGTGCAAGGGAGCTTAGATATGCCTCTGCTCATACATAAAGGGACTGTGCAGTTAATTCTAACACAATGGCCATGAATCATTTCAACCAGGGCTATAGCTTTTCATTTGCATCATTAGCAGATTAATCAACTAAAAGTTGAGTTCATAAAACACTGGGAACCAATATGCTAGCATGGTCATGATCACGGTCCCCTTCCCCTATTTTTCAAGGCTATTTTAGTTCCAGTGTGTTTATGATGTACTAAACAACAAGGAAATCCTAAAGGGAGCCATTTCTTCAAACCACATGTAGTAGCTTTGGTTTATCATGCTGTAGGCAATCTTGTGCTCCCTTCAGAATTTCGAACGTGGAAATGATATTCAGGTGCCGATTTATATGCAAATGTATTTCCATTTAATTGGTTAATTAATGAGTCACTTGGATAAAGGGGATGCAATCAATGAGAAACCTTTTCAGCAGTTAGAAGCCCAATTTCTCATTGCTCCACGGCCCAAAGTGCTGGTGTAAGAAAGAGGGTTTAACTTACCTATGGTGGGATCATGGTAGTCGGGGAACCGGTGGCTGATAAACTGCATTGTCATCGCTGGGGAAACAGAAAGAGATGGAAATGATGAGTCAATGATTAGCAGCTGTGATACGCAGCTCAGAAAAACCAAAACCAAGTAGTTTGCATTTCTGAATAACTGAAAAACAGAGTGCAGCCCTATGCAGGGATGGAGTTTTTTTTGAAAATCTCAATGGCAGATTTTTTAAAAAATTCCTGACTCACACCTTGACCTTGATAAGAAGTGAGTTATATTCCCTCCTCAGCTCTGCACTTCGTTAATATATTTGTTATTGTACACATTTGTTTTCCTACAGTGCATGCTCTAGTTATCTCCCACTTGGACTACTGCAATGCGCTCTACGTGGGGCTGCCTTTGAAGGTGACTCGGAAACTGCAATTAATCCAGAATGCAGCAGCTAGACTGGTGACTGGAAGTGGCCGCCGAGACCATATAGCACTGGTCCTGAAAGATCTTCATTGGCTCCCAGTACGTTTCCAAGCACAATTCAAAGTGTTGATGCTGACCTTTAAAGTCCTAAACAGCCTTGATCCTGTATACCTGAAGGAGCATCTCCACCCCCATCATCCAGCCCGGATATTGAGGTCCAGCACCAAGGGCCTTCTGGCAGTTCCCTCACTGCAAGAAGTGAAGTTACAGGGAACCAGGCAGAGGGCCTTATCGGTAGTGACGCCTGCCCTGTGGAACGCCCTCCCACCAGATGTCAAGGCAATAAACAACTATTTTACAACCATATGGTGAGGAAAGCTCTGTATAATGTCTGGATAAGGTATAAAGATTTGTTTGAAAGCAAAACCCCTAGGTGGCTGTCACCAATGGAGGCAAATGAGGTGAAAAAACTGAATATGGGTTCTAATTGGCCTAAATATTTTGAAATGATAGAACAAGATGGTGAAAAAGTAAAATTGCAGAGTTTCGAGAATCTGAAGTTTAAGGTGAGAGATTGGCTACATTATCGACAGATAAATGAAGTATTTAAACAGGACAGAAAGAAAGGCTTCCAAGTGGAGAAGTCAAAACTAGAAACAGAACTGTTAGAACCCAATACTAAAAACTTGTCAAGAATGTACAACTTGCTGTTGAAATGGAATACTCAAGATGAAATGGTGAAATCTAGTATGATTAAATGGGCACAGGATATAGGGCATGACATTGAGCTTGCTGACTGGGAGCAGTTATGGACCACTGGTGTTAAATTTACGGCATGTAATGCCTTAAGAGAAAACATTATGAAAATGATCTACAGGTGGTACATGACTCCGGCTAAGTTAGCAAAGATTTATCATCTGCCCAATAACAAGTGTTGGAAGTGTAATGAAACGGAGGGAACCTTCTATCACCTTTGGTGGACCTGCCCGAAGATTAAGGCTTTCTGGGAAATGATCTATAATGAAATTAAAAAAGTTCTGAAGAGAACCTTTAATAAAAAGCCAGAAGCCTTTCTCCTGGGTATGGTGGGCCAAATGGTGCCAAAGAAGGATAGGACATTTTTTATGTATGCTACAACAGCAGCAAGAATCCTTCTAGCAAAGTATTGGAAGACACAAGATCTACCCACGTTGGAAGAATGGCAGACGAAGGTGATTGATTATATGGGACTGGCAGAGATGACTGGCAGAATCCGAGACCGGGGGAAAGAGGCGGTGGATGAAGACTGGAACAAATTCAAAGTTTATCTTAAAAACTGTTGTAATTTGGAAAATTAGAGGATCAGGGTAATAAGAGATAAAGAACTACAGTTGTTTTATCATTTTATGGAAGTTAAATTTACGAAATAGAAATAAGTTTAATACGAAAGGGTTGCTGGAAAATCTTGAAACAAGAATGCAGAAAAGGGGTGGTATGGGGAAGTCGTTTTTGTGTTTATTTATGTTTTTGCTTTGTTTTCTTTTTTACTTATGGAAAATTAATAAAAATTTATTTAAAAAAAAATAAACAACTATTTTACTTTTAAAAGACAACTGAAGGCGGCCCTGTTTAGGGAAGTTTTTAATGTCTGATGCTGTATTGTTTTTAATATTTGGTTGGCAGCTGCCCAGAGGGGCTGGGGAAACCCAGCAGATGGGCAGGGTATAAATAATAAATTATTATTATTATTATTATAAAGTGACTAGCACACATACATATTTCATGAATATCCATAACTTGTCCAGACTGGAAATGAAAGAAAGTTGCAGACAAAATCTTCAGCCTAATGCTTCTCACTCCTGTTTTCAGTAACCTACAATACTGTATACTAGACTAGTGATGCTATGCAACCTCTGGAGCTGATTGGCTCAACTGACTGATGGGTATGATGATGTGGAATAGCCATGGATGTTCTAAATGGTCAGGAAGACAAGGGGGCCGGAATGTTTGCAATCCAGTTTCTACCAGAAAATAGAGGTGGGGGAATAATTTCTCTAGGATTGAGAACTTACACAGGTCCCAGAGTACAGGTGAGGAACCTTCTCCCCAACCCCTGCCAACCCCTATTCACTCAGGTAATCTGTTAGGGGCAAAAGGTTCACAGAGGACAGAGTCAACACCAAAAGCCACCTACGCAGGGAGTTCCAAAGTGTAGGTACTGTCACGCTGGATTCTCTGCATTAGCAGAACAAACATCACATGGCATTGGGGAAAGCATCAGTTCTGCATTTTATTAATAGTTTTGGATTGTTACTGTAATGATAATAAATTAAAAACCTTAAAAACAGACTGATGCAGAAATCTTGCCTTCAACAGATGTCACAGAGAAGAGCAAGTACAGTGGTACCTTGGGTTAAGAACTTAATTCATTCTGGAGGTCCGTTCTTAACCTGAAACTATTCTTAACCTGAGATACCACTTTAGCTAATGGGGCCTCCCGCTGTGGCCACACAATTTCTGTTCTCATCCTGAAGCAAAGTTCTTAACCCAAGGTACTCCTTCCGGGTTAGCGGAGTCTGTAACCTGAAGCGTCTGTAACCTGAAGCGTCTGTAACCCAAGGTACCACTGTATAGTTTATTTTTCAAGGACTTTGTTTCCTGATGTTGGAATAGATGGGCCTTTGGCCTAATTCAGAAGCATTCTTCTTATGTTCTTAGATTCAGTTAAGCATATTATTGACTTGTCTACCTTCCCTTAACTAAAATACAGTGGTACCTTGGTTCTCAAACAACTTGGAACCCAAACACTGCAAACCTAGAAGTGTTCCAGTTTGCGAACTTTTTACAGAAGCCGAACGTGCTCCGTTTTGAGTGCCAGACTTCTCTTTTGAGTGTTACGCTGAGGTCTGTCTGTTTTTGCTATTTATTTTGCGTTTTTGTGACCCTTTTTTTTTGGTTTGTTTTTGCGACTATGTGGAACCCACTTCAGCTACTGATTGATTGTGTGACTGCATTATATTGTTTATTGCTTGCATTTTATGGATCAATGGTCTCGTTAGATAGTAAAATCCATGTTAAATTGCTGTTTTAGGGGTTGTCTGGAACGGATTAATCCATTTTGCATTACTTTCTATGGGAAAGCGTCCCTTTGTTTTGGAATGCTTTGGGTTTTGGAACCCACTTCCAGAACGGATTAAGTTTGAGAACCAAGGTACCACTGTATTAGTTAATTTCACCATTTTTCCGAATGCACAGAAATTCCAATCACCCCTGCAGCTGGTGTGGTACAGTCCATTCTATCATCGTGGAGAACCTACCATTCATTCATCCCTCTGCAGGCCTCAGATGCCAGCAGGGCGAGACTATGAATATACAAGACTGTCGCTGCCTACTCACATCATTCAAAATGCATCTCATCTGTCTTCTTAGCTTTATTGCTGTCCCTTGTAGCACAACCCGCCCCCTTGCAATCAATAAAAACCCAGGTAGCATGGAGTGCTCACAAAGCGCGCGTCGTTCAGCCTTTTGGTAGCCATCATTTATTATATATATGCACACAGTTATTGCGCCAAGTCTTTCTGATAGGAAATCAATGGGCAGGAGAAGAATCATCGCAAACTGCAGAGAAGTCCATCAGAAAGTTAAGGCATGAACTCCCACCTGGCTGCCCACGAGCACATTTGATACATTTTCTAAAAGTGAAGGGAACGCAACAGGGATTTCAACCCCAGAGCATCCCCAAAGTCGGTAGCTGTGATTGTTTAGAAGATCACAAAGCTCTGGTGTCTAGGAGGCGAAAGCAGTCAGGGTCCCAAAGCATTTTGTGCATTTCATTTTTTTTTTTAAAAAAAAAAACAGCATTGGCTTGAGCAGTTTATTTATTCTATTTTATTTTCATGTTTTCAGGCTGCCTTTCTGGGCAAAGCCCTCCCGATATGGCTTGCAGAGCAGGGAGAGCAAGCAAAAAGCAGTTGCAATATTCAGTAAAATACAATTCAATGAAAGACCATCATTTAAAATAGCAGTTAAAAAACATATATATCCCGCAATCCGGCTCAATGTTCATTTTTTAAAAAAATAAAAATAAAAAATCCAATGAAACCATCAGGAATTACGTGATTTAAAACCAGTAATAATATAGCCATTTAATAATCAGAAATTGATTATTATTAACAGCTGAAAGTAACTCAAAACTATTGATTTTTTGAGGGATGTTTAAAAGCTGTGAGGATTCTAACAGCTGAGAAGGCAGCTGTCTGAGGAATAACTGTCCTCTCCTCCTGGCCTAGATATTGTCACAGGAGCTAATCTGGGTGTGGGAAGGAGAAGAGTTGGTGTTCTTTCTCAAGGGATAACAACCAAAACCATCACTGGCCACTGGATGTTTATGTAAGCCCTTCTGAGAGGCTAAAAGGTGACGAGTGCAATGAATAAATAAATCCCTGAACTGTACAAGGGGCAACTGTGGGACCACCATTGAGAAGACCTGTCCCTTATGTTCCCCAATCAGCATTAATTTGCACAAAAATGCATTCTCCCTTTCTTCTTTTTTAATATAAAGAAATATAAGAAAAAATTGCAACCATCTAAATGACATAAAAACAAAAGTTGATCCATTCTTACTACAACATGGATTACATAAAAACTAGATCTTCCTCTTTTTGACATACTCTAATTAAATATAACTTTCTGC